CGTACTTTCGTTGGTTGTACAGGGTAATAGCCAGATTGTTGAGGCTTGTTAGGGTGTATGGGTGGTCTGGTCCAAGAACCTTCTCGCGTCCCTCAAGTGCACGTCTATCCATCCTCTCTGATTCATCATACTTTCCTTGTCTGTGCAGTGTTAGAGCTAGGTTTCCTACACTTATCAAAGTGTCTGGGTGTTCTGCCCCAAGAATCTTTTCGCGACCCTCCAGGGCACGTCGATCCATGGTCTCTGATTCACCGTACTTTTCTTGATAATGTAGCACCATGGCCAGATGGCTGACGCTTGATAGAGTATCTGGATGGCCGGGTCCAAGAATTCTCTCCCGCCCTTCCAGGGCACGGCGATTCATGGTCTCTGATTCCTCGTACTTTCCTTGGCGTTGCAGCACCAGAGCCAGGTTGTTGGCACTTGTTAGGGTATCGGGGTGGTCAGGTCCGAGAACCTCGTCACGCAACTCCAGCGCGCGTCGATGCAGCATCTCGGATTCCGCGTACTTTCCTTGCAGCTCCAGCACCGCAGCTAGGCTGTTGGCACTGGTTAAAGTGTTGGGGTGGTGTGGTCCAAGTGTCTTTTCGTGCCACTCCAGTGCCCGCCGATTGATCGCCTCTGATTCACCGTACTTTCCGAGATCACTCATCACACTTCCCAGATAGGATAGGCATGCCACTGCATCCGGGTCGTTTGGCCCCAATGACCCCGTGAGCTCGTCCAGTACACTCTGCAGTATCATCTCCGCCTCCCGAGCCTTTCCTTGACATGCGCTCACCCGTCCCAATAGCATAAGTCTCCCATGACCCTTATCCCAGCCTTGCTCTTTATGCTCCTCCCGTAGCCGGATACATCGACGGATTTGTACTTCTGCACGGTCGTAGGAACCCAAATGTAGAAACCACTCTGCCATACGGAAGCAAAGGTCTTCCGCAATAACATCCGTTGGGCCGTCAGTTACCGTAAGTGCGTGTGGAATGTATGCATCGCAGATATTCCGCAGCTCGTGCTCATATTTCGGGAATATTCGGGAGATGACTCGCAATGCGGTGGTTCTCCATTTATTCAACTCTTCCGGCGATAAATAGGCCTGTACCGATAGCTGCACTAAACGATGGAGTTCATAAAATGTTTTATCTTCACCTTTAGTAGCAGTAACTAATGAGAATCCAGAGAGTTTTCCAACAGCCTGGCGGAATTCAACCGGATCATCTACCCCTTCAACTCCAGATTCGCGCAGGAGCTCCTCAGGTATATTTTGACGATCAAAGAAGGCAATCAGCCGTAGGAGGTCGCCGGCGGTCGGCATCTGTTCTGTAATACGGTCAAAGGTGATGAAGTATGTGCTCAAAATACTTTCTGTCATGTCGACATCGCGGCGGATATCGCTAAACTGCTGTGAAAGTAGCTTTGTCCTCCGCTTATCGTTCTCCTGAAAAATGGTCCAGTATTCGGGGGGTGGTGTTTCGGTCTCAACCATGAAAGCCGCGGATCCTACGACAGCCAGCGGCAAGCGGCCCACCGAACCTAGGATCATAGCAACAACCTCTTCTTCCCCGTCCCTCAAATTTCCCCCGCTACCATAGTGTCTCGAAAACAAGGCTCGCGCTTCATCTTCCTCCATTTTTCCCACCTCAATCCTTTCGCACGCCTGGCGCAATGCGACCTGGCGAGATCTGGTGGTGAATATAAGAGTACCTCGGGGGCCTTGTGGCACAAACTTAGCGATGGGACTATTGTTACTGGCAAAGTCCTCCTCGTTGTCGGCATTGTCCATAACCAGAACCCAATTGCCGCTATCTGCGCCCTCAAACCATCTCCTTACACTCAATAGGAATCCCTCTTCTTCCATGTCGGCACTGGCTAGAGGAATTCGGACATGTTGGGCAATAGCCCTAAAACCCTCTTTAAATTTTAACACTCCGCTTCCTTGCACCCAGTAAATATCACGATCGCTCTCGCTTGCGCACTGATGAACATATTCGAGCGCGATCTGGGTTTTTCTGAGCAAAGTTAGTAGGCTCTTCAGATACCAAATTAATGGAAGCATACCCAGAGCCGCCCAATCCAAGAAGTGCAATCCGATTGTGGCCCTTACGCCCGGAGAGGCTCTTTACCGAGTCCAGGATACTTTTCCGACCAGTGAATTTGGTGTTCCTGCTATAGGGAATTATTCTATAAGGCCTAGATGCTTCTTCTGGTCACCGCAGTAGATTAGTTTTTTGCCGGAAAGGTCTCGGAAAAGCTGATAATACTTTGGTCCCCAGCAATAATCACATATTGTTGATATATTGTCCCGAGATTGACCATACTATTTATGTCCGTATTATTACTACCGATGACATTCTCCTTCCCCGAATTCCCGCTGTAATTCCCGCTGATACCAACTTGGGGTTTTCTAGGAATATTGGTATATCAGCACTCCAATTCCTTTTGAAATCACGCAAGCATTAAGGGGGGGAGTGAGCATACCCCTCCATCGTGTTTTTTTTTTGGCTCACTTTGTCGCCGTTTTTGAAGGTCGGGTATGGAAGTAATATGATGTCGCTGTTGCAACTAAAAAGTTGCCGATCGAGGTCGTTCACAACGGTTTCGCTAGGCCCTGAAGGAGGTCAATAAGCAAGACATACCATAGCAAAACGAATAGTCACGAACCCAATTTTGGATATGGAGGTTCGCGATTCTTGATTTTTACGCGGGTATGGGGTGTAATCCCGGCTAGGGCGATGATGGAGGCTGAGCAGTTGGCGATAGAGTACTGTGTAAGAAACAGAATCTTGGGGGGTGGGGAAGGTTGAAATTCAGGCTTCAGAAATCAAAAGTATTGCCCCTCCCGGTGTTTGGACACCATAGCCGGGTCTCTTGAGGTTTACGCAATGCAATTGGTTCAATATGGGGTCACAATTTGGGCGGTTACGAGTGATTGGTGTACGCCTCGTTACTGCACGCGAAATGTGAGATGATACCTTAACTTGAGATCGCGCAGAAGTTCCCTGCATCCTTCAGCCGCTCTCCATTCCAACACAGTCTGCTTGAGTGTGCCGGGGTCCTCGGAACACAAATCTGTCCCAACCACGTGATGCCGCTGAATAGAGTTACCGGTATTTGACCCATCCATGAAAGAGGCATTCGCCTACCACTCCCCTCCTTGTTTCCGATAAGATAAATTTAGCTCCCTCCTACCGCGCACGCGGTCTTGCCGAATGGTTTATCGGGACGCTTGAGATCGGAATTGGTACATAAAAAAGCTACAGCAGATACAATGAAAAGTACGGTACCCCTTAACCGTACAAGAAATTTGTGAATATAATATGACCGAACTTGTGCCTCAGAAGGAGATGCTCGCTGGGCGAATCTGGGGGAATTTTCAGTCGAAATGCAGAGGGGCACTGAATACCTGGCAGCCCTGGGACGGGGGATGCTAGGCGAGTTGCATGTTGTCGTGGCTCGGAACCTGCTCGTGCAAATGTTGTGGCTTGGGTGTCAGTGCCCCATCGGTAGCGTTGCTGGCACCCTGAAGTGCCTTGTGCCATGCCGGTGTGTCCGGCACGGCACAAAGTACGGTAATTCCAGAGCACGGTGAGATTAACTTCTCGCACTGTCCGGCACGACTCAGTTGTCGGGAATCGGTGAACCATGTTTCTACTGGCATCCCTCACTTGGAGATGATAATAACCTCACAACTCCTGCTCACCCCAAGATTTGCTAATATTGAAATTCATTCTGCAAATAGTTCCTCCTTTTGTGTTTCTTTTTCTTCCTCTTTTTTCCATTTTCTCGTTGAAGATTTGTTTTATTTGTATTCATTTTTCCCGAGCAGATTGATTTAGAGGCTCGCGCCATGGCACAAATCCTCGCCACCAAGTGCCAACAACGCAACTGCCAATGCTTGCAGGCCCACTTTTGTGGGAACTCGAAAGGGTGGCTGACAGCTCAACGTCCCTAGTGGTTTGCAAAGGCGCAGGGGGGGTATTTTCACACAAGGCAGGGATTATTTTGCTGGTCAACTCCAATGAACTGTTCGGTCACTCCCCAACCGCTACTTTTATCGGTACTCGTAATAGTACTCGTACTTTGCGGCTTAACATCACTTTAAAGCCTAAAATAATAGAACTTTACGGCTTAATATCGATCTGTCACTCACTCTTTACCTGGTACCAATAGTACCCCTTAAGGTGAGCCTGAAACCTTTAGGGGGTTGTGGCGCTCCGGCTACAACCTCGGCACGAGTGCCACCACTCATCGCATCTTGCTCAATGCATTCTGGAGCACCGAAGTATACTGTGCTTCAACCGGAGGTCTTCCCGCCGTGTAGGGATTTATACAAGCTCCGAGTTTCCCAAAACTAAATCTGCCGAATGGTCGCAGAAAACACATCTGGGTGGGAGATGATTTTTCCTGGAATCGGCTTCCCCCGTAGATAGTATATTCGCTAGCTTCTATGGCTCGTTTTCTGGTCTAGCTGTGCTGTCGGGTTGTGCTTGTAGTTTCCTCCCAGGGCGCTGTGCGGCGCTTTTCGCTCCCTGCTTATTTCAAAGTCAGGGTCAGGTGTGGAGAACATCGCTTGGGCTTTGTTTTGTCGGCCAATGGCTCTCAACTTGCTTTATTGCCGAGACTTGCTAATATCGACTGAGGGGGCAACGTTTTAGAAAACTTAAATTAGGGGCCTATGGCGCGCCCCGCACATTGACAGTTCACTCACGTTTTCTATGATCTGAAATCGCATGTCAATTATTGCTCATAGCACCTGTTGGTTTGCCTATCGGGTGGATACAACCGGCGAGGATATACGTAGTTAAGGGACATGCGCTTGGGAGATACACGGTTACAGGGTAGTTGTTTTGTGGTGCGCGGAGAGTAAGAATCGGCCGGTGGTATTCTTGCTTTAGATCCTGGGTGAATAGGGCACAGGGCACAGGGTACAGCTTTCTGGTTTTTGTTGATACTCGTCGCTATGGGGTATCGGGTGCGGGGAATCTGCCCCATCTCTTTTACGCCCTATACTATTCAGCATATGATTGTTGGTTTGAGGTAACATGCAGGATCGGGGGATATCCAGAGAGTTCTAGATTATTGGAGGATCTCGGAGGATCATGACGTATTCGGGATCGCGTGTTTCTGGAGAGCTAGTGGTGTTTCTTTTGGTTTCCGGGTTGTTGGGTTGTTAGCATTCTAGGGATACACCGGTGCATCTCCAACTTCAATGCTTTATTCGTGAGTCCGTTTCTTTAGGCTTCATCAAAGCCACCATGGTTTCAAAAAATAATCATGAGCTCTGGCCGAGACAACTTGTCCTAATTCCACTGCTCGGGCTAATTCCATTGCTCGGGTACGGACAAGGGAGTTTGGACGGCTAAGAAATTTGGGATGTGAGCTTACCGTCATCACAGGGAAGAAAGGAGCAAACAAAGGCAGAGAAAATCCCTCAGATAAGCAAGAAGCTTTGATACCTCTAATCCCCGGCTTCCCTGTCACCCACATCCATACCCGAGCGCAACAGGGGGACGGGGGATTTCGTTACTGTACTAGGGGAATAGGATGGAGGGAGATCGGTCCCGGGATACCTTCCCCCGGAACGGACCCAATATTGATTTACAGTGTTCAAGAAAACGGCACAACCTTTGAAAGCCAATCCCAGAGAAATGCGGGCAGTGTAGGGAATGGTCAAAAGCAGCAAAGCCACAGCCAATTTCTTCAAAGAGCGATGCAAAACGAAAAGAAACGGGCACTAAAAGTGGCGAGCGGGAGACTCCGCTCGTGGGCGGGCTAGTACTATAATATCTCCCGAAACGGCCGCTCCCCGGCGACTAAGGATAGGTGTAGTTTGGCAAGTTAAGCGTTCGGTAATACCGTCGATGTGATCAAACGCCCCGTCAGGGCTGATTTTGTGCTCTCCTAGGGAGGCACAAATTCACTTGGAGGGCTTTTATCTAGTCCTCGGAGATTTTATGAGTCAGGAGGTAGTGTATTTCACAATATTTTGGGTATAAGGGGGGAATACAGGAGACACTCGTTACTCTTGTTGATAATCGGCACTGCGGGTACTTTCTGGGCAGTTCCCGCAAGTGTTTTGTGGGAGCATCCTTCCTCATATGGTATCATATCTCGGATATTGTGATCTACAGAGTGAGCAGAGCAATATTAGGTGAACGAAAGGAGGGGTAGGAATCCGGTAGTCTGCTAAACTGGTGGGAAACCGGCTTGCGAAGTAAACATAAGAACAGCAATTCTTCCTGTCGCGATGATATTCTCGCTTCATTTCTATCTTCCTGACGGTATTTGCCACTCATTCAGTAGTGGTTCCATAAGCCGTTGTTCCCTCTACACTAAAATCCTCAGCTCCCCAAATATTTGTTTTCTCATGAGACAAATATTTCGCCACATTGACAACCCATCCCTCCTGACCTGACTGCACCCCCGGTGCTGGTATTGCTCCTCTGGTAACACTGTCAGCTTTCTATAATAACGCGTAATAATAGATGGGATAGTCTTGTCTATGGTATGAGAAGAGCCTTAAAAAGCAAGAAATCGAGAATGTTATGAGCGGCCAATACAGGTGAGGAGAGAGTGAAGATAAGCGAACCAATCTGAACCGAAAAGCAGGTGGGGGGGAAATAGTTCCTTTTTGTCCTTCGCCGGGCATAGCGGTAGGACTTCCGGAGCGCTTTAGGTCTGCCCTCCCTACCCTGCCACTCAGTACTGCCAGTACCACGGGATTAGCGGTTCGCAAAAATTGCTGCCACAGGTGTGGAGGATCAATCTAAAGGGGAAAGTGTTAGTAGCCACATGGGTGAGGATAAGACTGCCATCACTCTAGTTAAAGGTTTCCGGACAGAAGGACTTAGGCCGAGGATATTAGAGTATAAAGGTACGGTTGAGGTGTAAAGCGCAGCTAAGCCCGCGGGGTACAATCCTGCCATAGACCAAGGTCGGGCCATACAGGGTGTTGACAACGGATGGGCGGCCCGGTAGATGATGAGAACTGTCAGGTGTTGTGCGTTCGAATGAGATTTTTATCCTTGCTTTTGTCTCAGAAACGCAATAAAATGCCATTTCCCAGCCCCTGTTAGCCAAGGTCAAGCCTTTCGCGGCTCTGATTTGACGCAATTGTATGTTTCACTTTAGGCATTTCTTATCCCAACGTGGGGGCATCTGCCGGTTCCCGACAGATAATCCCCTTGTTAAATCTGAGGTCGGCGGTGTTTAATAGCCGCGGCTACTTGGTAGGGGAGAGGGCGCGTGCTATCGCCGGGTTACCACGAGTTAACACCCGACGTGAGATGAATGGAGCATCATGGCAACCTGGAACC